TAAAGCAAAAATAAAGATTGCATTTCTACCAGAAAATATAAATCAAGATATTGTGAAAAAGTCTTTTTTTCTACCCCTACTATTTAAGTAATACGACTAAATCGACCTTAAATTTTCGTTATGACTCGTTGATTGATTAAGGGTGTTAATAATAATCCTAATCGCTGGCGCACAGCCAACACGTAGTCTTTTGCAATACGCGAAAAAGGATCCGCTCACGTAAAAGTTATAGTTAAAAAAAAAAAAAATACTCTTTGTGGTAAAGTTGAAGTGTTAGTCTCGAATGTGTAACCTTTAAACGTAATGGAGGTCCGAAATTCCGAAGCTTGCGAAGTTGCCGTTAAATGTTTTGTAATAAAGTTGTAGTTTGTAGTAAACCTAAGCATAGGGACCTAGTCATAATAATGCAATAGATCTTGCCATACGATCTCTTATTTCTCACATCGGTGATGGTATGTCAATCTTCATTTGCATCTACTGTTGAGATCAGAAATGAGGAGCCAGCGGATTGGTAACGGTAGGGCTTCTGTTGCTTAGCCATGTTAAGTACAATGATCATATTGAAACTGACTTTATTCTATTTAGCCCGATAATAGAAATGGTTTGTTTCTATTTACGCTAGTTAATATATGTTGACGACGCGGCTATATAACGAACCACTTCAGGCCGTGGGGAAAATTGCGCCGACCGCTATACTGACTTACGTGCCCTCGAAATATAACAGCGCAGGTATAAGCACGTATCAATAAACTACATTGATGACATAATTTTACTTAATTTTCAGACCATATATACGTATATATATATATATATATATATACGTATGCTGCGTTGGTCTTATTCACAGGCCAGTCAGTTCACTGGCCGTCTTTGAATCATGTCTGCTCTCCTGAAAGTGGCTGCTCCCTAAGAGTAAAAAATAGCCCATTAAAGGACTGCATATCAAAGCTGGCTTTTTCCCTTTACTCCAAGTTTACACGGTACGAAGAACGAATATGCGTTGCTAAAGGAATCGCCTGAAGATGAATTCACTATTCATTGCTATATTAGATAACCCACCGAGCCTTGGGCGCTCATATCGACGACCGTGACCCCCACCCACCAGCCATTCAGTCGCAAACATCCCCCAGCTTGTCGCCTACATGGTCATAATAATAAGTATACGATAGCCGAATGGCCGAATTCACAGTAGATATACTATGAAGACAATGGTGGAAACTGCTGATGAGTTACAGTATTATCGCAATTTCGCGTACAATAGCAAAGGTTGGACAATCTAGAAGGCAAGAGGAGCAGAGCCGTACTGATGTAACGTATAAACTGAACAATACCATACGCTGAATGAAAGAGTATGTTCATAAATCTAGAACTTTGGCCTTTAATCTAAGCGTAAGATTCAACCAGGCCTCGACCTGAAAGCGAGAATACATACGTACATATGGTGCTATAAACGCAAATAGGTGCCTTCTTTCGTTAAAGGAAAGCTCGAGACAGCCCTTACCCTTTTTTAGCCACAGCAGGCAAATCCAGTAAAAAAGCAACGAAGGCATTGGCGTTATGGACCAGCGTACACTAAGAGAATCAACGGGTCCGCATTTGCCCTCATCTTTGGCTTTCCTGCCGAACCAATGCTTTGAGTTAGTGAGGTTGCTGGCTCAAGAAGAAATGGGGTAGCTCCAAGCCATAGAACAAGCATCAGTAGCCATGGCGAATCTTCTAACCAAGACTCCCCGATGATAGACTAGTCTAGGTTTGGTCGTTGCTATCTCTCTGTGTGGCAGTAGACAGATAGGCAGGCAGGCAGAAAACCAACACATGACTGTGTAATCCTAAAGTGTGATCCAATGAGAGCTCCCGCTGCTACTATGGCCTGGGATGGGCGTGTATTGCGCCTAATGTTAAGGGCAAAATCTTCACAGGGCGTGGGCAAAACCACATGTATTTGCCGTGCACCAACTTGATAGCTCCCTCCCTCTTCCATAAGATCATCAGTACGGACACGCACAGGGCCAGCGATAATATGGGACACCGTTAAAACCCACATGTATCTGTAACGGTTCATAGGAATTCACCACGGTAATGGGTGCCATCTGGGATCATCTTTCAGCTAGGGCCCAGGGTACGTTTGGCCTCCTCCAAGAGCAAAAGAAGGACTAGCGATAGTAGTGGTTGGCTACGGGTAACGCTGGACAGGGCAAGCAATAGATGAGGAGTGGAAGAAAGACCATAAGGAAGGTTGTTTTTCGAGAAAAGATAGATAGCCTAGACAGGCAAACCTTTCCTGCTCACAAGACAATGCAAAAAAGCGGTAAAGCGGTGGTCAAAATCACATTTTAGCCTCTTGGTTGTTGTTGTAGCCGTTAATCCTTCACCGGCGCAGAAGTCGCTAGTAAGAAGCTGCCCTTTAGACTAATGCACGACTGTCGTTTGTTTGCTTATGAGAAGAGACCTCTATGTCCAACGAAACTTTTCAGCTCTTCAAGACTGCGGTATGTTGTTGAAAAGTTTGAGTAACGTTGGATGATACTATTATATATCGTTATACTATACTTATTATTACTTCATCCCACGACTGTTTCTTCTCAAAATTACCTTTTACGCCCCATCAGCCAACTATCACAAACTAGAACAATCCCAAATTCTTTGTCAAAATATATTGTTTGTGGCTACGTAGTATCTCGATACTCGTGTGTTAATAAAACTAACTTTAGCTCTTTCGACTGGAAAGCGGCCGGACGCTGGAACGGAAACAGACAATCGAGGAACTCTCAAGTTCGTACCACTTGGCGTTCGCTATTTGTCAGAATGAGGTTGTTGTTAACACTTCGCCGATGCGTGAATTCACTTTCCCTTCGTCTGTCCGTCGCTGTGCTGAGGAACTTTTCACAAGAATTTATTTTTTGTGAACTTAACAGCATCTATTCGACAGCTGCTATGCCGCTTAAAATAGCTGACCAAGGTTTAGTTCTGTAACCACAGCCTATCGAGAATTAAGCCTTGGAAAACCCTGTCAAGGCTGAGTTTCCTCTGTTTAAAACCCCAAACGAAAGAGTCAGTATAACGAGCATTTGAGACTAATCAATCAGGAATCAAATGAAACTGAAGAATCGTTGGCACTCCAAATTCACAGAGGGAACTCTATGGGAATGGATTTGATGCCATGCATTCAGCGAAGGGGTCCCATTGCTGAGTGAAGAAAACAATGAAGTAATCCGACAGGTGCGCTTTGTCAATTGGGAATAGGGATTTTTGCCCAGTTCCTTATAGGTAGTAACCTTTGTGAGCCGATATATAGGAGGAGAAATTTTGACGGTGTAAGGGAAGGCTTCTAATGAAATCTATAGTAAGCTTCAAGCAGAGTCTGTATATTACATGTGGCGTAAGTGATGATGATTAGATCAGTGCTATAACTTCACTCCGACGTCTATTTGAATAACCGTGAAAATGCTTCCTTTATTAAGCTAATTGTTATTCCGCGAAATGCGCACCTTTTGAGGGTACACTTTGGGGGGTTGTGATTCAACAATATTTCTAAAAGAAACTGTCGCTGAGCTATATTCAAGCTAGCTTTTCTCACTAAACGACAATCGATTGAATATCCCGTTACTTAACAGCTGGATCGAGTAGAAATATATGTTGCGTAACTGCAACGTATGTTCTAAAATTGACCTCAAGTGAAAATGATTGCACGCCTCTCGTCTGAAGCGGCGGGCAATATCTGTATGTACTTCTTCAATTTGTATTAAATTATACACTTATATTCGTTAAGTTTAAATTTTTAGTCTCATAAAATACGAGTACAAAGCGCCGAAGACAATTCAAAATAATACAACATCAGTGTTTGTTCCACAGGTGGAAAATCACGTATATTTTGATATCTCGACTTCTCCTTGTAGCTATGACGCAAGTATAGTAATAAGCTTTGCCCTCTGTGTGGAAAATATGAAAGGCGATTTGCCGAAGGACAATATGCTGTTATTGATTATCACGCTGAAATCCTTAAATATAGGATGTCGTGTCATGTTCTTTGAAGAAATGGCAGTATTTGCTCGGCTTGTTCTCGTTTCATAAAAGTAAACTCAAACTAGGTTGTAAGAAGGTCAACTTGAACCGAACAATTTCAAGGTACGCTATTCTAGCATGTCATCGAATATGGGCGGATACCTTGCGGCCCAATGCTAACGTACTCAGGGTTTAACATACACTATTTGAGTCATTTTATGATAACGGACCGCCTTTACATCTTCTAACGATCTTAGCCCTAATTTATCCAGAGCGCTCAATTCGATCGTAGTTAGATGTAGCTTTCACAAGATTGGGTGTGTTCTTTTAAGCACCCGAGCTTTGACTTCGTTCTCGCTGAGATCCAATAGCTACGAATAAGGATTAGCGTAAGCGCATCAATCATGCATGGTTAAACACGCTGAAAGTGTAGTCTCACTGTGGAAACACTATCTAGTAATCGAAGACGACATTGTAGTTAGGTTATCCCATATGATTGGGTGTAGTTATTGCATAAAGAATACCTTGACTTACTTGGGGATGCCCCTTTAGTTCTGTTGGGCTTTAACAGCAGTCTCTAGTTGAGCACAGGTGAAATCTCTGAGATGGTCATGTTATTAGGATCGCTAATTCCCTTAAGCATTAGTCTCTTGTACTGCTCTACCATGCCGATGAGTAACTGTATTACTCAAAGTTGCATCTTTAAGAGATTGAAGGAACGGGAAATAAAGAGTCCATTTATTTATCCATATCTTTTCGGTTGAGATCAGCTTCCCCAAAGGTTACTTATTGCAGTCGCTGATCGATCGAATAATACGACGCACAGGTCGGCATATCTTGGCAAGCTGCCCTTGGTAAACCCAAATGCAACCCTCTCCCCGTGTTGGCTTCCCTCACCCAAAATCATTGGGCCCTTTCCACCGAGAAGATCGAAAAACACGGTGAACGGCCGAGCGCGTGACGAAACCTCAAATCAGAGAGGCTGAATCTCAACCCGGACGTGCGGTCGGTCGGTCGTTCGGTCGGTGGGTGGATCGGTGTTCGGGAACCATTCTCGTGTGCTCCCATAACCCATGAACACGTCTTGCTTCTGTATTTTAGCACGTGCGGAAGGACGATGGGCTTAGCAGTGTTTGTTTATCGTGCCGCCAATTTGACTGATGCTGAGCGGTATCGTTTACAATGAGGAAAGACAAAGTGTGCGCTATAATTTGTGAATAGTTGTGAGTGTGGATATGCTTAAGCTATTAGTCGAGCAAATGACAGAAGCGGATATTGTTATGAAGTGACATTACGAAATAGAAAAGTAACGGCTGAGAAATACGTGGCAGCTATACGGGCTTGGTTGATTAGGTGTGTCATCTACTGTTAGTGATCACTGAAAAAAGCCTGTTGCTAAGCTTTTGGTGCTCTCGTTTGGTGTCGATGGTGTTGGTCAATCGTCATGTGCTTGTCAGTTTGGATAATTGTCTGTACTGCGTTTGCTTTGAGTTTTCCTCCCCGAATCTTAGGCAAAGGTAAGAATCAAAGCCACTATACCTTTTCCTTTGTGTTTTTGAAACACTGATGATTATTACAGGATGTAACCTGCCATAGGCTCAAGGTGCCGTACATTGCTCGCATACACACTGTGCGACGACGGTTAATTAGTTTAGATAGAGATTTTAACTTGTTAACACTTAACGATCCCTAAAGGTATTATATGTAAAAATATTTATGATTTTTATGAAAAAAACCGTATACTATGAAAGCATTGTTACTAGGGGCAAAGTGTTCATCACCATATCTAACTGTTACTATGATATGTACTCGAACGTACATATTAGAGGATTGATTAGAGGTGTGATTGAATGAATTTAGAGTTGTAACAAAGAAGATTTGATATCTAGATCTACAACGGCGATAATTAATACTTCTTTGAATTTTTGACTTCTTATCATGTACTGCATTTCGCTTGTTTGAACTATGCCATCGACAGGTACTATAATATGATAACAATACGACATGATAAGAAAAGTAAATTACGTTTCTCTTTCTATTTTCAATAAGTAATTTTTTTTTATTTGGCACCAGTTTGAAAAGTTCGTTTGGTAGCACAACATTACCATGCAAAAAAATTACCTTTCACTATAAATAAATACGACCGTATATAGTTTTTAGACTAGGGAATTGTTCTACATATAGATGAATCCGTTTATGGCAGTGTTCGGAACAAAATGGTCATATAGTCTGAATCACCGTAGTTAAACGGCTTTAGCACGACGGTTTTTGGAGGGCTATTGCGAGCGTGATAGCTGTTTAGATAATGTTTGATAGATGACCCCCCGGATACGTACGTACACCGAAATGCACGGAATCGTACAATGTATACGTACTAAATATATATATATATATATATAATTTTGGCTTCTTTTAGCCTGTATCTCTCGCGTTATAATGCTAAATCGATAGATGCATATGTGGATTGCTATTATTTACAAAAAAATATTTCGCAAGATTTTTATAGGTTCAGATAAGCAAGTAGAAGTTCGTTAAACTTTGCGCTGCCAGTTAGCCTGTAGTAGAGATGTAGATTTTGCGCCAGGCATTGCGTTTCTCGCATATCGATTGACATGCTTGATAAATTCTATTTTATATGTGACCTTAGGTTCGGTCTGTGCCAAGTGTGTATACAACTATAGTTTACCATACGACCGTTGTTGTACTACACAATATCAGGTCTAGAAAGCTTGTTCAGTATATTGTTTGTTCCAGTACCTTCAGATAGGTTGGAACGTAAACAGACTTATTGTAAAGACGCATTCATGGTAGGCATATATTGCATGAGCATAATGAAGTATGACTTTTTTTTTTCAACCTGTCTCTATAATATATTTCCTGTTCTAGTTATTATCGAAAACCAAAAAAGAAACATCTCATATGGTACATAGGGAAATATCATAGACTTTAGTATTTAAACTAAATACAACACAAATAGTTTCAACCGTAGCCTAATGAAAGTTATCAAATTAAAATTATAGCTATTTTAGTTTTCTGCATTATGCAATAGGCAAGATTAGCCATTGTATAACTCGGAAGCTTCTATAGTAAAGCACGACGGTGATACGTCGTTTTTGTAAAATAATTTTTGTTGCAAAAATTGTGTTTTTGCGGGACACCTTTTGCAGATTAACAGAGATTTTTTTTTGTCACGTGTTTAAAGCAGGCCTATAGAACGGCAAGCCTCTTCAACAAAAAAAAAAAACAGCTTTTTAAAGAAGTACCTCTGATTTTGACACTCTAATTACAGCTTATAGAAACAAATAAAATGGTAGCACTGTTATTGTTAGAAGAAAATAATGAAGAGTTTTTTGGTGCATCGATAAAGGTCGTCAATCATCACCCTGTGTGCAAGACTTTATGGATTAAGCCACCGTGCCTAATTCATTATAATATACCATAAATTTTGCTGAAATTTTCAGAAAGTTACAGCGGACAACTGTACATAAAGTAGTATCTACAGTCAGCTTGCATGGACATATACGGTATCACTTACTTGTTGTATATAAAATCTTTTCTTTTTCCACGTGGTCCACGTAGACCTGTGTTATATATATATATATATAACTTTATGACGTTGGTGACAAGGAGTGTGCTTTATTTAGAACTAAATGTTATTCTTCCAAACGGATTTAGTCTGTTAAAGAAGGAAAAAAAATAATAATCTTTTAATCATTTACGGATCCTATTCTGTTTACGCGTAGGCAATGGTTCGAACAACGCCTGAGGAGCTGTGCCTTACGTTTTTCAACTCTCGCTACTTGGAACTCCATAGTTCAAAGAAGCTTATACAAGCATCTGGAGGAGAGACTAAATGAAACAAAATAGTCCTTGAGCTTTACTTTTTGAAGGCTGACGGCAAACTCTTTACTATAATGTGCACACTTGAATCTGTGCAGTTTGATAGATAGAATGCCATCATCTAACTAACTCGAACTTGGCTCGCTCAAGGAAATACAATGTCGTCGCTAGCTTAAAATTTGCAGCTCCTATGTAGAAGTTAGGTTCGACACGTTCTAAACGTGTCACATTTGCAATGCAAATTTAGCCATGCCTGGTCAACTGGCTGCTTTAATTTTTGTACATCATTTTAACACATCTAAAAAAAAAACACTTTTACATGCGTAGAACTCCGCTTCAAACATTATAAGCACGTTTCGCTATTGGCGCTGGTAGTTAGTTTCACATTGTCTTCGTCAAATTTACCGCCATTGTCTTGTCCGCAGATGTGGCGTCATCTACCTATTGTTATGAACATTATTTCTACTCACGACCATCGTCTTGAATATACATAGATAAACACTGACGCATCCGAACGGTGTGCTTGTTTCTGTTCCGATACTGTTGCCTGCCATTCGTTCTTTTCCCTCGTACGAGCACCATTCTGAAATAATAATACGATACATTGTTATGATCAGTAGCTTCACTGTCGTTAAGAAGGTGTTTAATTGATCGTCAACCAAGCCAGTGCTCGGTCCTTACGATCGAACAGAATTTTTTCCAGTGATTTATTCCTCTATTTATTGTTTTCTAAGCAATTTCTCGAACCCGAAATGTATACGACTCGAACGCCAACCGTCGGCTCCTAGTTGCCGTGGACACATCAGTTATCACCACATCTAAGTTTTGTTTATCATATGGCTATAGCTCAACTACTAACCTAATTACTAGAACCGTTTTGTCATAACAGGAAGATGGCATGACAGAAACAGAAGGATCATGTATGTTTTTCCGTGATTCCGGACTGGGGCTGCAGAGATGATTGAAGTCGATGGACGACCACGACTAGCTGCTAAAGAAAGGTTCTCTACAACTAGTTTCTCATTAAACAAATATGCTTTTCTTTTTTACCGAAATGCCTGCTGTTATGTCGCAATAGTACATTAGTGGTTAGCAATTAGTGTTTCTAGTGAAAATCGATGTTTTTTTCGTTTGAAAATTGTAATTGTTCGTTTATGCACGCATCGGCGAGTCCACTGAATAGGAAACTGATGTCAGCTTCAGAAGTCAACAGTCACCTGTCTACATAAACACATGCATAGTATCTATTTGATGTTATCGTCATGGCTTTACTGGGGTCTTGTCTGACGTTTAATTGCTACGAACTGGTAGTTAGTATCGTTTCTATCGGTATAATGCAGAACAGCAGATAGTAATAACAGCATTAGTGGCGAAACCGCTATAATTACTACTATTTTCACGACGGCGTAGATGGCCGACATGATCAACCAAGACTTATATAGATGTAATTTCAAACCGGGCGTCGTCTCTGCCCGCCGTAGCTCGATGGTGCCGACTCTGACAATTGTAACAGCAATTTCATAATGGCTTGATCACGCCGCTATACCATACTCACGGCAGCATCAGCATCATTATTGTGCCTTCCATCAGCCATGACGTACCATCAGTTCGTGTCGTCTGTATTCAAACGCCTTACCTGGAATGCCCAGATGTCTGTGGGTCGGCGAGCTGTGACGCCAAATCCTGCGCGTAAATAGACATCAATGAAGGTGCGCATATCTGTTGTATATATAATAAATAGATAGATGTTTACTAGGTCTAGTGACTGTAGAGAAAGTGATCGGAAACAACCCAATAGGCGCAGGCTGGCTAATATTGAGGGGCACCCGGAGACGGTCGCGAGGGTGCCATTTCCATGGGGGCAATTCACTATAACCGCGCTGAGCAACATCGCTGGTGAAGAAACGGCGACATCGTAGTGATCATCTCAGCATTGGGCACCAACGTTGGGCAACAACAGCGACAGCAAAGAACGCCAAGCCAAAGAAAAACGTCAGACTACGGCGCCCGAAGTGGTACTTGTTGCAATATAAAAGTTGTGCTAATGCTGTACGACGCATTTGCCTGTTACTAAATTAAACAAAACGACGATTTTGACTAGCATCCTCTCGTCAGTTTCGCTTATAGGTGGAATCCACCGAAGATCATTATAAGGGTTTGCAGGAATACATGGATTTGACAACTTACACTAACCTTCACTTAGCCAATCGCCTTCAGCTGCTTCGCGATAACCTATAACAAATGCAACAAATGAGAAGGATGAATCAGTGTTAGCTGGCGATCTTTTGATCCGTCGCCGCTCGCTCGGGCCGATCCTCAGACTCGCACTGAGCATCTCATTATCATTCGGCCGAACGAAAGATACGGCTGCTGATGATGACGGCAATAATTACGGTGGCGATACGATAGGGCAGTGAAAAAGTTTATGGAACAGAATTCGAAGAACCGATTTTTTCGTACTGCGTATGCAGACTGGAGACCGTGCAACATTCATCCGTAGGAATAACCGTAGGACAAGATTAAATACCACAGATCCTACAATTCTAAGTTCTCACTCTAAATATAATAAGGTATTAGAAGAAAGGGTGAAAGTTGTTGCTGTTTTTCACTGCGTTTATACGTCCGTCGGTTGACATCAAGAGGAACGGATTCGTAATGAGCCTTAACAGTCATTGGC